AAGCTTTCCCCACTTTTTTTCATTTTTTTTTTGAGACATAGTCTCTGTTATCCAAGCTGCAGTGCAATGGCACAATGACCTTTCACCTGAGGTCAGGAGATCAAGACCAGCCTAGCCAACATGGTGAAACCCTGTTTCTACTAAAAACAAAAAAAATTGGCAGGGCGTAATGGCAGGTGCTTGTAATCCTAGCTACTCTGGAGTCTGAGGCAACAGAATCGCTTGAACCTGGAAGGCAGAGGAGGTTGCAGTGAGCCAAGATTGTGCCATTGCACTTCAGCCTGGGAGACAGAGGGATACTCCATCTTAAAAAGAAAAAAAGAAAAGAAGACTTATAGAAAAGAACAAGTGGTGTGGCAAGTCCTCTGAAGCTTTCCTGAAAGGGTCTAATAGGCATCTTGCTTGACCAGTATAGTACAACTGAAAATTGGTATACTGGTTACACATATCAGCCTGCCATTCAAATGTGCAGTAAATATACCTCTTTTTGTTTTTGTGTAACAACTTTTCTGTTTTGAGTCTCTGATCCATTCTGGTGAAAGAAACTTACTTTTAGTCAATTTGGGGCTTTCCCCCTCCCATCCTTGGGGTCGTACCTAATTTCTGGAGGGTCTTAAATAGTGCCATGGGATCTGGAGAGGAGATCTAGTCCTCCTTGTCATTGGTCTCTACAGTTTACCTGAGGCTTTTGTTACCTTATTTAATCCTTGTTCATTGATCCCCTAGGTTGACGTTTTGTAATAATGATAACCATGATTATGATAGTATTATGATAGTAATTATGAAAGTATCATGATAACATTAATAACAGTTTCTATTTGTTTAATGCTTTCTATGAGACAGGCACTGTGTTATATATATTAAAAATACTGTTGCTGGCTGGGCGCAGTGGCTCATACCTGTAATTCCAGCACTTTGGGAGGCCAAGGTAGGCAGATCACAAGGTCAGGAGATTGAGACCATCTTGGTCAACATGGTGAAACCCCGTGTCTACTAAGAATGCAAAAATTTGCTGGGCGTGGCAGCGCTGCCTGTAATCCCAGCTACTCGGTAGGCTGAGGCAGAAGAATTGCTTGAACTCAGGAGGCAGAGGTTGCAGTGAGCCAAGATCATGCCACTGCACTCCAGCTTGGCGACAGAGCTAGACTTCATCTCAAAAAAAAAAAAGAAAAAAAAATAGTATTGCTAAAAACAACTCTGTGTACATGTAATTTGCACAGAGCATATGTGTAATGGACATTTGTAATTATCGAGATCCAGCTTTTGAAGTCCCTTCCTTTTTGAGGAATTCCTTGCCTCCCAAAACAGAAGTTGAAATGGACAGACATCTAGTATTCTAGTTCCTCTGCCAGCTGCAATGTAGGCCCTTGACTTAGGCTCTGCCAATCAGATGCACTCATCTGGGATTTTGAATTTGAAACTAATGACACAAATAAACAAGGACAGTAGAGATTTCTTTCTGGTGTCAGTGGCAGCAGCATCAAGTTGGCAAGTGCAAAAATGTCTGTGTTGCCAACTCTTGGATCCAGTGTTGAATGCCAGGGATGACAACAGTGCAAACTGCAGTTCCTGTGTTCAGTGGCAGTGGTAGCAGTGTACCAGTAGACTGACTCTATGCTTCTATTTTTTTTGGAGGTGGGAAAACAAAAGTTTCACTTTTGTTGCGTAGGCCAGAGTGCAGTGGCATGATCTTGGCTCACTGCAAACTCCACCTCCCGGGTTCGTTCAAGCAATTCTCCTGCCTCTGGCCCCCAAGTAGTTGGAATTACAGGCATGAGCCACCACACCCAGCTAATTTTGTATTTTTAGTAGAGACAAGGTTTCTGCATGTTTGTCAGGCTGGTCTTGAACTCCTGACTTCAGGTGATCTGCCCTCCTCAGCCTCTCAAAGTGCAGGGATTACAGGCATGAGCCATTGTGCCTGGCCTCTAGTTCTATTTTTGTTTGTGGTATTATCTACATAGCTTCTCTTTATTCCTGTCTGTTTTCCCAGTTTGTCTGTGAGCCATTCATTAAATAGTTTCAAGAAATTAGCTGATGGAGAAATTCTTAGCAGGAGTGATCGTAGGCAATAGGAGAAGTGTAGGTGGAGTGGGGTGATGGAGAGCTTGGGGTTGGTTAATTGGCCTGGTTTGGGATGGAGGCAAGGAGAACCCAGCTAACATTAAGGAATTGGATTTTCACAGCCCATGGCAAATAGCTTTTTTTTTTTTTTTTGAGATAAGGGCTTCCTCTGTTGCCCAGACTGGAGTGCAGTGGAGATTATAGTTCACTGCAGCCTTGAACTCCTGGGCTCGTGACCCTTTCAACTCAGCCTCTCAAGTAGTTGGGATGATAGGCCTGTGCCATCACACCTAGTTCAAAATAGCTAATTAAATCATTCATTTGATCATCTGCAGTGACATGATAATTGAAGCCAAGGCTTTGGGTTTCCAAATCCTATTGCCATAGGATCATATAAAGGGTAGGCATGGAATTTGAGATTGTGAGGGTGTGGTAACTGCTTCTAATATTGCTGAACATCTTAAGAAGTAATAACAAGGCTGGGTACGGTGCCTCACGCCTGTAATCCCAGCACTTTCAGAGGCCAAGATGGGCAGATCACTAGAGGTCAGGAGTTCGAGACCAACCTGGACAACATAATACAACCCTATCTCTACTAAAAATACAAAAATTAGCCAGGTGTGGTGGCAGGCGCTTGTAGTCCCAGCTACTCGGTAGGCTGACATATGAGAATCGCTGGAACCTGGGAGGCAGAGGTTGCAGTCAGCTGAGCTGAGATTGTACCACTGCACTCCAGCCTGGGGGCGGCAGAGTGAGACTGTCTCAAAACAACAACAACAACAACAAACCAAACAAAAAAGTTATCAGTGAAACCCAGGGAATTTCTGTGGCTCTGCTACAAAAATCTATAAGAGATTTGCAAGACATAAGCTCTTGCAGCTGAAGAACTGGAACAATTGTAGGCCAAACACAGTGTTTGATCCTCAGGGTTGCTAAATTTAATTGGTTTGATTCATGGACTTATATGTAGACTCTTATGAGGCAGTCAGGATGTTGATCAGGAAAGAGTGGTATCTAAATATTTAGAATGAGCTAAGATGGAGAATTTGGCTGACTCAGACAACCTCAAATTCCCAACCGATTGAAACTCCCTTTTCCCTTTTCAGCTGAAGTGTTCTTTTCTCTTGTGTGGAACTGATTTTTGGTTGCTTGAGGACCTTTTCTTGATTACTTCTCTTGTATACTACAGCTATTCCTGTGCCTCTCTCTTTAAATGGAAAGGGAACTCTCTCATACCTGATTAACTTCCTTCCATGCACCTCTTGCATTTCTTTCTTACCCTCTTTGTAATTATACAGTAGAAGATCCCAAGAGATCCTAAATGGTACATTGGGACCATCCTTAGAACTTTAAAAAGAAAAATTGCCAGGCAAAACTAGCACCTTCTATTATTATAATTATTATTTGGGTTTTTTTGAGACAGAGTCTCACTCTGTTGCCCAGGCTCGAGTGAAGTGGCATGATCTTGGCTCACTGAAGCCTCTGCCTCCCAGGTTCAAGCAATTCTTGTGCTTCAGCCTCCTTAGTAGCTGGGATTATAGGCATGTGCCACCACACTTGGCTAATTTTTTATTTTTGGTAGAGATGCGTTTCGTCATGTTGACAAGGCTGGTCTTGAACTCCTGACCTCAAGTGATCCACTTCCCTCGGCCTCCCAAAGTGCTGGGATTACAGGCATGAGCCACCATGCCAGGCCCTTCTATTATGGATAGGGATGAAGAAAGACAGGAAACACCCAGGAGTTAATAATCTAAAAGTAAATAAAAAAGATAGAAAAGCAGACCCTAAAATCAAACACGAGGAGAACCAAATGAAGTAAACAGTGTATAAATATTAAAATTATAAACACACAGAAAATGTAATTCAAGTTTCTTTTGAACACAGCACACTGACCCTATATCCTTAATAGGAGGAATTCTAAGGGCAAGGAACAAATGCAAATAAATTCAGAATTTTATCTCATAAACTTGTTATAATGGTGAAATTACTTTTTGTGTGTATAGTAGATAGCACAAATGAGTAAAGATATTGGTTTGAGTGGGAATCAAGGTTTTCATTATGGAAGAAGAGAGATAAACACATGGAATGGAAAAGTTGATAAAGAACCTCTGTAAAATTGAGAAATATGTCTATCCTGATGATTTTTTTTTAAAGAAAATATAGCTTTGTTTACTGTCAAGGACTAGTAACAGTAAACACTACATAACACTCAGCTCTTGGTTTTTAAATACCATTCTCTACTAGAAGGCCTCAGGTTTCCATGAAAGAAATGGCTGATTCCAGGTGCAGGGCAGGGAAAGTTCAAGGTGAGCATGGAGCATCTTGCTGTGGTTGTAGCCTGGGAAGTGCAAGTGCTCAAAGACTGAGGAGGTTATGTCAAAAAGACATAGGAGTTAGGTTGGAGGGTTCCCTGTGGCCAAATTTGGGACAACATGAGCATAATCATGATTAATTATGGCCTGGGCACAGTGGCTTTTAATCCCAGCACTTTGGGAAGCTGAAGCAGGGTAGATTGCTTGAACTCACGAGTTTGATACCAGCCTGGGCAACATGGTGAAACCCTGTCTCTACTAAAAATACAAAAATTTGCCAGGCGTGCTGGTGTGTGCCTCTAATCTCAGCCACTTGGGGGATTGAGGCTGGAGGATGGCTTAAGCCCAAGAGGCAGAGGTTGCAGTAGCCAAAAGCAAACCACTGTACCCCATCCTGGGTGACAGAGTGAGACCCTGTCTTAAAAAGGAAAATAAATTAATAATGGTCATAATACATGAGGAAAGAAGTCTGTAAATCTATATTGGTATGAAAGAGAGAAATGCTTTGTTTAAAAAAAAACAAAGTTCCAACTAGTAAACATAGAAGAAATGATCAAATGAAAAAAATAACTTTTTCAATTCACAACATAAAAATTGATTCAGTCAATTACTTTTAACCTCTGAAAGATTTTTAATAGAACCTCTGAAAGATTTTCATAAAGATGAAGTGAGAATTTTGGGCAGAGAACTTGGACTTCCAGAAGAGTTAGTTTCCAGGCATCCATTTCCAGGTCCTGGCCTGGCAATCAGAGTAATAAGTGCTGAAGAACCTTATATTTGTAAAGACTTTCCTGAAACCAACAATATTTTGAAAATAGTAGCTGATTTTTCTGCAAGTGTTAAAAAGCCACATACCCTATTACAGAGAGTCAAAGCCTGCACAACGGAAGAGGATCAGGAGAAGCTGATGCAAATTACAAGTCTGCATTCACTGAATGCCTTCTTGCTGCCAATTAAAACTGTAGGTGTGCAGGGTGACTGTCGTTCCTACAGTTACGTGTGTGGAATCTCCAGTAAAGATGAACCTGACTGGGAATCTCTTATTTTTCTGGCTAGGCTTATACCTCGAATGTGTCACAACGTTAACAGAGTTGTTTATATATTTGGGCCACCAGTTAAAGAACCTCCTACAGATGTTACTCCCACTTTCTTGACAACAGGTGTGCTCAGTACTTTACGCCAAGCTGATTTTGAGGCCCATAATATTCTCAGGGAGTCTGGGTATGCTGGGAAAATCAGCCAGATGCCGGTGATTTTGACACCATTACATTTTGATCGGGACCCACTTCAAAAGCAGCCTTCATGCCAGAGATCTGTAGTTATTCGAACCTTTATTACTAGTGACTTCATGACTGGTATACCTGCAACACCTGGCAATGAGATCCCTGTAGAGGTGGTGTTAAAGATGGTCACTGAGATTAAGAAGATTCCTGGTATTTCTCGAATTATGTATGACTTAACATCAAAGCCCCCAGGAACTACTGAGTGGGAGTAATAAACTTGTTCTCTTAAAAAAAACCAAAAAAAAAAAAACCAAAAAAAAAAAAAACCAAAGTTCCAACTAGTAAACATAGAAGAAATGATCAAATGAAAAAAATAACATTTGTTAGCAACATGGTGTTAGCATGCTTAACACCATCGGTGAAAAACTGGGGCACATGGTCTCAAAGTATCATTTCCAAGTAATTTATTAATTGTAAAGGGGAAAGATATACTTCATTTATGATGAAGAGGTCTGATAGTACATTAAATATCTTAACAAAAATAGCATCACTAATGGTGATACAATAAAATACACAACACCATCTATGTATTATTCTTGCCAGGAATGTTTAATCTGAATCTAGGGATGAAGAAACAATCAGATATTAATAATAAATCTCAAGTCCAGAATATGGAGCATTTTATAAGAACATTGGGCTGAACTGTTTTTTTTTTAATTAATCAATGAGAGCTTGTTATGTTGCTCAGGTTGGCCTTGAACTCATAGCCTCACCTCCTCAAGTGCCAGGACAACTGGCCAGAGCCACCGCAGCTCCTGGAGCTGAACTGTTAAAACAAAAAGTCAATGTCATGAGAAACATCAGTATCACCACCACTACCAACCTCATAAACAACAAACATTACCATCAAAAGGTATGAGAACTGTTCTAGATTAAAAGAGGCAAAAGAGAGTTAATGTAATGCAATGTACTATTAATAATAAAATCTTGGATTAAAAAACAGCTATACAAGCTAATAAAAGACATTTTTGGGACAATTAAGGAGATCTGAATATAAATTGTATATTAAATTACATTATTGATTTGTTAATTTTCCTGGGTAGATAATTGGTTGTGGTTTTATAGGAGAATGTCTTCTTAGGGGAATGCATGACTAAGCATTTAGGGATAAAATGAAACTTAAAGAAGCTGTAATCTCAGTATTTTTGGAGGCTGAGGTGGGTGGGGTGGATCACCTGAGGTTGGAAGTTCGAGAGCAGCCTGACCAACATGGAGAAATCCCATCTCTACTAAAAATACAAAATCGCTGGGCGTGGTGGGGCATGCCAGTAATCCCAGCTACTTGGGAGGCTGAGGCAGGAGAATCGCTTGAACCCAGGAGGCAGAGGTTGCTGTGAGCCGAGATCATGCCATCGCACTCCAGCCCAGCCCGGACAACAAGAGTGAACTCCGTCTCAAAAAAAAAAAAAAGAAGCTTACCCATAGACAGTGACTCCCTGTTTCCTCTCAAACCCACCTATCCCCAGCCCTCAGCAATCACTATTCGGTTTTTGTGGATTTGCCTATCCTGAACATTTTATGTAAATGGAGTAATGCAGTATATATGGTCTTTTGTGACTAGCTTCTTTCATTTAGCATCCATGATGTGGTCTCAGTAACTTTATTCTTTTTTCTTGCTAAATAATATTCTGTTGTTTAGATATGCCACATTTTGTTTACCTATTCATCAGTTGAGGGGGACTTTTGGTTTGTTTCCACATTCAGCTATCATGTATAATGGTGCTATGAACATTTATGGACAATTTTTTGTGTGGATATATGTTTTCATTTCTCTTAGTTGTACACCTGGGAGTGGACTTGCTTTTATGGTTTCTCAATTGGTCATATGGTTACTCTGTGTTTAACATTTTGAGGAACTGCTAAACTTTTCCACAGTGACTGAGCCATTTTACAATTTCACCAGCTTTTGGTATCTAAGAAACCATTGTCTAATCACAGAGTTTAAGATCACAGAGTTTTTTGCTTATATTTTCTTCAAAACCTTTTATAGCTTTATGTCTTAAATTTACATATTTGATCCATTACGAGTTAAGTCTTTGTATGTAGCATGAGATTCAACTTCATTGTTTCCAGTTGTTTCAGTACCATTTAAAAAGACTATTCTTTTCCATCAGACATGGGACTAAAGAAAAAGAGACTATTCTTTCCTTATTGTCTTGGCACCCTTTTCAAAATCAATTCACTTTATAAATGTGAAGCTTTAATTTTGGACTCTATTCTATCTTACTGACCCATATGTTTATACTTAGGTCCATACCACAATGTCTTAATTCCTATCGTCTTGTTTTAAGTTTTGAAACTGAGAAGTGTAAGTCCTCCAACATTGTTCTTTTAAAAGGTTACCTGACTATTTGGGTACCTTGTATTTTCTATATGGATTTTTAGTAAGTAAGCTTTTTTTAAAAAGCAGTTTTAGAATCATAGCAAAACTGAGTGGAAAATACAGACAGTTCCTACATACCTATCCTGGACTCTATGCACATTTTCCACCACTATCAACATTCAACATTCTGCACCAAATTGGTATTTTACTTCGTTTTTTTTTTTTTTTAAACAGAGTCTCACTGTGTCACCCAGGCTGCAGTGCAATGGCACAATCTCTGCAACCTCTGCCTCCCAGGTTCAAGCAATTCTCCTGCCTCAGCCTCCTAAGCAGCTGGGATTACAGGTGCGCACCACTACACCCAGTTAATTTTTGTATTTTTAGTAGACATGGGGTTTCACCATGTTGGTCAGTCTGGTCTTAAACTCCTGACCTCGTGATCTGCCCACATCAGCTTCCCAAAGTGCTGAAATTACACGGGTGAGCCACCACGCCCGGATGGTACTTTCTTATAATTCATGACATTGACACATCATTACCACCTGAAGCCCATAGTTTTATATTACAGCTTACTCTTGGTGTTGTATGGGTTTTGGCGAAATATAATGACATGTTATAGTATTATACAGAATGCTTTCATTGTCCTAAAAATTCTCTAGGCTCTACTTTTTCATTCCTTCCTCCCCACTAACTCTTGGCAACCACTGATTTTTTTACTGTCTTCATACATAGTTTTACCTTTTCCAGAATGTCAAGTATTTGGAGTCATAAAATATATAGTCTTTTCAGTTGGCTTCTTTCATTTAGCAATATGCATTTAAGGTTCTTCCAGGTCTTTTCATGTTTTGATAGCTCATTGCTTTTTAGCACTGTATAATATTTTATTGTCTGGATGTATCACATTGAATTTATTCATTCACCTACTGGACACTTGGTTTGCTTACAAGTTTTGGCAATTATGAATAAAGCTGCTATAAAATCCATGTGCAGATTTTTCTGGGGGCATAAGTTTTCAACTCACTTAAGTAAGCACATAGAAGCATGATTGCTGCATTGTTTTTTGTAAGAGTAGGTTTAGTTTTGTAAGAAACTGCTAAAGTGGCTGTACCATTTTCTATTCCCAGCAGCAATGAATGAGAGTACCTGATGTTCCTCATTCTCACCAGCATTTGGTGGTGTTGGTGTTTTGATTTTTTTCTTTTGGAGACAGAGTGTTGCTCTGTCACCCAGGCTGGAATGCAGTGGGGTGATCTTGACTCACTGCAACCTCCGTCTCCCAGGTTCGTGTTTCTCCTGCCTCAGCCTCTCAAGTAACTGGGATTACAGGCACCTGCCACCATGCCCAGATCATTTTGGTATTTTTAGCAGAAACAAGGTTTCACCATGTTGGCCAGGCTTGTCTCGAACTCCTGACCTCAGGTGATCTGCCCATCTTGGCCTCCCAAAGTGCTGGGATTACAGGCGTGAGCCACTGTGCCTGGCCTAGTTAGTGGCATTTTATTAATTCCCCAATGACATATGATGTTGAGAATCTTTTCATATGCTGGTTGCTATCTGTATATCTCTTTGATGAGGTGCCTGTTCAGATCTTTCTGGTTTCTTTTGGAGATGTAGTCTTTTTTGAGACTTTCTGTTTTTGTTTTTTTTGAGATGTGGTCTCACTCTGTCACCCAGGCTGGAGTGCAGCGATAGATTTTGGCTCACTGCAACCTCCACTTCCTGGGTTCAAGTGAGTCTCCTGCCTCAGCCTCCTGAGTAGTTGGGACTATAGATGTGTGCCGCCACGCCCAGCTAATTTTTGTATTTTAGTAGAGACCAGGTTTCACCATGTTGGCCAGGCTGCTGTCAAACTCCTGAATGCAAATGATCCACCTGCCTTGGCCTCCCAAAGTGCTGGGATTACAGGTATGAGCCACTGTGCCTGGCCCTTTTGCCCATTTTTTTTTTTTTTGAGATTGAGTCTCTATTGCCCAGGCTGGAGTGTAGTGGCGCAATCTTGGCTCAATGCAATCTCTGCTTCAAGCAATTCTCCTGCCTCAGCCTTCTGAGTAGCTGGGGTTACAGGCATGCGCCACCATGCCCATCTAATTTTTGTATTTTTAGTAGAGACAGGGTTTCACCATGTTGGCCAGTCTGGGCTCGAACTCCTGAATGCAAGTGATCCACCATCTCGGCCTCCCAAAGTGCTGAGATTACAGGTGGGAGCCATTGTGCCTGGCCCTTTTGCTGATTTTTTAATTGGGTTGTTTGTTTTCTTGTTGTTGAGTTTTATGAGTTCTTTATATATTCTGATAACAATCCCTTGTCAGATATATCTTTTGCAAATATTTCATTCTCTCAACAGTGTCTTTCACAGAGTAGAAATTTTTAATTTTAATGAAGTCCAGCTCATCAATTATTTCTTTCAAGGATTGGGCCTTTGATGTTATAGCTAAAAAGTCATTACCAAACCCAAGGTCATCTGGATTTTCTTCTATGTTATATTCCAGGGGTTTTATAGTTTTCCATTTTCATCTGTAATCCAATTTGAGTTAATTTTTGTGAGTGATGAAAGGTCTGTGTGTAGACTAATATATTTTTTCTTTTTTGCATATGGATGTTCAGTTGATATGGCACCATTTGTTGAAAAGATTTTATTTTCTTTATTGTATTGACTTTGCTTCTTTGCCGAAGATCAATGAGGAGGTAGAAGTGGTGAGCAGAGAAAAAAATACAAGCTGACTGTATTTATGGGAATCTTTTTCTGTGCTCTCTATTCCATTCCAGGGATCTGTCTATTCTTTCTCCCATAGCACACTATCTTGACTAATGTAGCTTTATTATCCTGGGCCAGGGCGGGTGGATCACGAGGTCAGGAGATCGAGACCATCCTGGCCAATATGGTGAAACCCTGTCTCTACTAAAATTCAAAA